TTAATAATACTTTGCTTAGGTTTTCGAAGGCATGTTTTACTATTTCAATGTGCCTTCAGACTTCGGTGTCATATTTTCTGTCATCTATTAAAATACTTCACACGTATTTATATTTCTGTACTCGTTTGATTTTGACATCTGTATCTTGGAGGAATATCAGTGCTAATGTTAGAGATCATTTTAATAATCATCGTTATAGCTATTGACGGAAAGTACGATAAACGTGGATGCACGTGATTGAGTTTGTTTACTTTTTTATTTTAATTTTTTTAATTTTTTTTAATCATTGAAATTAATATCCAGCTGCTTGGACGTAGAATGTTGTATTTCCGAAATGTACCTAGCGACCTGGATCGGAATTTCGTTACCTTATACTAAAAAGTTGCATTTTAATCAGGCGTGCTTTACCGTTCGTCCACGGGCGTCTCTACCGCAAAATTGACAATATGCACATGACGTTATTTTATTTAAAAAAAAAAAAAAAGTATCGCATTTGTCTAACTTTAAAATCGCCAAGTCGTGTGGAATATACAACTACTTCAACCATCGAAATGAGCACAAAAGTTATCATTATTTCGCATTATACTTTTATTCCCATCGTCATCATCATCATCATCATCATCATCACGCTTTATTCCAGCATCATCATCATCATCATCATCATCCACTGTATGCTTTTATCGTCATCATTCTCTTACCCCTCATCATCATCATCATCATCACGCTTTATTCCAGCATCATCATCATCATCATCATCTGTATGCTTTTATCGTCATCATTCTCTTACCCCTCATTTTCATCATCATCATCATCATCATCCTCTCTATGCTTTTATCATCATCATTCTCTTACCCCTCATCATCATCATCATTCATCTTACCTTTATTCCATCATTTTCATCATCATCATCATCATCATCCTCTCTATGCTTTTTATTCTCATCATCATCATCATCATCATCCGCTTTATTCATCATCATCATCATCATCATCAGCTTTTTATCGTCATCATTACCCCCATTTTCATCATCATCATCATCATCCTCTCTATGCTTTTATCATCATCATTCTCTTACCCCTCATCATCATCATCATCATCAGCACGCTTTATTCCATCATCATCATCATCATCATCCTCTCTATGCTTTTATCATCATCATCTCTTACCCCCTCATCATCATCATAATCATCATTCCATCATCATCATCATCATCATCATCATCATCCTCTCTATGCTTTTATCATCATCATTCTCTTACCCCTCGTCATCATCATCATCATCATCATCATCTGTATGCTTTTATCATCATCATCATCCTCCTACTCATCATCATCATCACTATCCTTTCCTTCATCATTCTTACGCTTTCTTTCAACATCATCACCATCATCATTCTTATATTTATTCATCATCATGCTTTTACCATCATCATCATCATCATTATTACTACGCCTTCTTTTATCATCATCTTCCTTATAATTTCTTACATTATCATCACTATCATTATGCTTGCTTTCAACATCATCATCATCATCATCATCATCATTTCCTTATACTTTCTTTCATCATCATCATCATCATCATCATCATCTTATATTTTCTTTCATCATCATCATCATCATCATTATCACCAACATCAAACTTATTCTTTCTTTCTTCTTTTAAAGGATTAACATCGATCGAAATATCACATTTTAATGATTTTTAATTAAACGCTATTTTATTTTCTTTCTTTTCTTTTTACAGAATCTGATTACGTTTCAAAGAGAGAGAAAAAAACAAAAAATAACTCAGCAACAAAAGGGCCCCGTGAAAGGATGATGCCGTCTTGTCGCCTGGCTGACAACATTGTCAACGTCATAGTCGTCATCGCACCAGTCTCTGAGTCGACCGTTATCAGAAGCTATAAGCGGCGGCGCGCCATAAAACTGAGAAGGATTTTATGAACAAATATTTACCATTACGTGCCTATACGACGAATTAGATGTGAACTACTTGGACGAAAACTGGTGAGTCAAGCCGTAAAACAAATCACTACGAAAAAAGAAAAAAAAACAAAACAAAAAAGAAGGGAGATAAATCCAGAGGAAAAATTAAGTCTCTCTTCAAAGACTTTTGTTACTGAACGCGTATATAGTGCATAAAGAAGAAAAAATATATTAAAAAAAAATACACTTTATTGAGTCTCATGAACTGCTTATTTGTTTCACTTTTCACAGTTTAAAATGACCTTGTGCCACGCTAACTGAAACATAACAAATAACTATAAAAAAAGAGAAGTGGCGAATGTCAACGCAAGTTATTTTAAAAAGTCGCAGTTTTAAATGAAATTGACGGAAAAGAACGGATGTTGACAGACATTACTAGAAATGCGTGGAAAAGCAAAATTTGTGTATTTTTTTCTGACGCTACAAAGCCATTTTTAGTATAGAGTCATCATTGGATTTACGTCACACAACTACAACAATAATAACAAGTTCTCACATATCTGCACTGTCTTTTCTCTCGTTATTCTCTTATAGCCATCGTCCTTATAATTAGTATTATTTTTGGTTCTGACATTTGCATATTAACACGAGATGTCAGGGAATTCTCGATGGGGACTGAGTGGCAGCAAGTCCCATTAAATATCCAACATCGTAGACCCCAGAATCTGAATAGTACTTATTATTCTTTAAATTTCAAATCTATTATTCTGATGACGGTTCCAAACGTGCCAACTACTATTAGTTCTCAGGTGAGGTCCTGAATTTTTTTTTCCTTTCTTTCGTTTGTAACGTATGGTTCTATTTCATGCCAACGATTTGGTTGTTATTTCCTTTATTACGCTTATAAGAGTCGACTGGTCCATCTGGATGACAAAGTCCCAGATTAGCTTTCTTTTAATTTCTAAATTTATCAGTATTCAGTCATTAAGTGCCCACACCATAAATAATTGGTGATACAGATCAAGTGACAGCAAGTTACCTCGATCAAGTGACATCAAGTTACCTTATTATTTTTATTATTATTATTATTAATAATAATAATATTAATAATAATAATTTTCACATATTTTATGATCTGATCTCAAAGCAGGCCTCTAAAATTTAGCAAACATAACTTTGAATTATTCTTTTTCAAGCACAATTATTCCCAGCTATTTTTATGAAAGAAACAGACTGATGACATGGCAGCTGCAGATTTTTGAAGTATATGAATATAAATAATTGGCATTCCTTAAATTTGAACTTCGAATTCAGTAAAAAGAAGCAAATAGTTTTTGCTGCACCAATCAAAGAAACAGACAGGCAGACAGATAGATATATATATATATAGAGAGAGAGAGAGAGAGAAAGAGAGAGAGAGAGAGTTAAATACAATGATTGAAAGGTGACCAATTTCTCAAGAAAAAGGTCAGTTCAATAACGGTGATTCTTCATACAGGTTATAGAACATTAGAAAGAACGTCTACGCAATAATGTAATCTCTGCAGCGGGTGAAGAGTTTCACTCATGGCTTTATACGTGGAATCATAAATAGTACCGAACAATACACGCCGCCATCTTGGAGAAGTATGCTTATAATTAATTCGTGTTCAGGAATGATCAATCTGCGACGTGAAACGAAAGCAACAAGAGAACATTGGCAGAAGGTCACGTGATCTTACTGTTCATGCCTCTATTCTGTAGATTCAGGTGCAAAATAGCGGCAAACGTGAACACCCTGCGCAGTGTCGTCTGTGAACGAAGACGGTGTTTGATGATTCATTCATTTTTTTTTTTCCTTTTTGCATTTTGACGACCGGATGCAACGTGAAAGACCCCTTTACGCTGCGTCAGCCAATAGGGAGATAGGATTCGTTTTCATTTCCTATCATTGATTAAACTGTTTTGTTTATGTTTTTAATATCAGATGTCTTCAAGATAATAATTACTCGGTTTTGTTTACACGTTTAGAAACTGTTTTAAAAGAGAGAAAAAGTCATGAATTATTTTCATTCGAATTCTTTACTTTGAAAACCTCTATGTTTTGAAAGGAAACTGTGATCTCCAACCCCCACAAACATATACAGGGATACACAGTAATTTATAGACATAGACGCCGAAAGGAATAATTTTGAAAAGTCAGTGTCAGAGTAATATCAGTATTTTCTTTTTTTTTAAAAAAGCTTAATATCGCCTTTTTTACCGTCTACCAAGGAAGTTCCCCAAGCTTATGCAAGTGAAGATTCTTTTTAAAAAAAATTAAAAAAAAAAAAACTGACAAGAAAGGGAAAAGTGAAGACACGTATACAGTATGGCGACCGGACGAAGAACTAAGCAGACGATACCCGCTTTTCTTCTCTTCTGGTTACCAATTTTTAAGCGAAACTTAAGCAAATCAGCGAAGACTTCTCCTGCAACTGTCAATCACGTGACCACATTTCCAATATGGAGTCTTTCGGATGTCTTGATGGAAAAATATAAACTATGCGCGGAGCAAAATACATAACAACGACTGAAGTAATTGATATTTTGGATGATTGATTGTTAAAAAAATAAGTTTTGTTTCCTATCGACGAGTCAGTATTTGCCTTTTTACTTAATTTCATCTTTTGTTTTTGTTTCCTGTAGACCCAATCAAATAGTCAACCATGAAAGTGGAAAAAAATATTGATATCTTGCGGACCACAGATTCAATCAGTCTTTGATGAAGATGAAACCACAGATGAAATTTAGATCAAACTGTTTACCTCTGTATGGAACGAAACCGGTACGACTAAATACCCAATGATGCTTTTTCCGTGCATATTTGTAAATAACATCTTAAAAAACTATATTTAATTGTACGATTTAAAACAATTTCCCATACAGTAAGGGATCTAAGAAAACTTATAAAATATTTGTAAGTGGATACAATTCTACATATTTTGGCGAAACCACTGCCTCTTTTTCACTGTGCGTGCGTGCATGTGTGTGTGCGTGTTCCATCTTGGCAGGATATTATGAATAGCCGGCACTGTTTTATTCGGAGTACACATGGAGCCATTGGATTACGATATTCCTGAAGATGACGTCGATTACTTCAACTTTTCGCCGGAATCGAACGATAACTCGAGTCTCTTGGCAAACAGCAGCACCACAGTGTCGATTGAGATCAGCGCCGCCATTTTGAAAGGCGTCATTCTCGGCTCTATCTGCATTATAACGATTCTTGGGAACGTGCTCGTCTTGATGGCCGTGTTCGTCAATTCCCACCTGCGTAGCACCACCAACTACTTCATCGTCAATCTGGCCATTGCCGACGTACTTCTGGGCACCCTCGTGCTGCCTTTTTCAGCCAGCATCGAAATAGTCGACTACTGGGCATTCGGGCAGACATTTTGTGACATATGGGCAGCTACCGATGTCCTCTGTTGTACGGCTTCAATTCTAAGCCTGTGTGTCATTAGCATTGACCGTTATATCGGCGTCACGAAGCCATTGCAACATTCTTCGATTATGACCGAGAAGCGTGCTGTTTATATCATCGTCGGAGTGTGGGTGATGTCGGTAATAATTTCAGTAGCGCCGCTAATCGGCTGGAAGGATCCGCCAGATCAGAATCCTTATGTCTGCACCGTGACCCAGCAAATTGGTTATGTTATCTTCTCTGTGGCCGGATCATTCTACATCCCCTTACTCATCATCCTCATTGTGTATTTTCGGATTTACAAAGAGGCTGAGAAACAATACCGTTTTCTATCAACCGGCATAAAGACTTCCAAACTGGATGAGAATACGCAAGGGGTGACCTTACGGATTCACACAGGTCGCAGTGCCATTGCTGCTGCCGCTGCTGCCACTACGGCCTCGTCTGCCCCCTTTTCTGCGTCTATGGCTGGCGCCGGAGTGGTTAGTCCACATACAAATCCTTGCTATCAGAGTAGCAGTTCTAGTGAGCACTCAGACAGTTCAGGACGAAAGTCAAATTCAAGACTTACTCTCGCAGGTCGAGTGGCAAAGTTCCGAAGGGAACGAAAAGCAGCTAAAACTCTCGGCATTGTGGTCGGAGTCTTCATTCTCTGCTGGTTTCCATTTTTTCGTTTTACCATTAGGTAAGTAATTCCTTGATATATATATATATATATATATATATATATATATATATATATATATATATATTGTTGTTGTTGTTTTTATTATTTGGTACATTGGATTTATTTCAGCCGATAGGACGCATTTTTAACAAAAAAAAAAATGAATTACTGAAAATGCCATCTAGCTTCCTGCAAGCTACTGTTGACCCTAATATTTTAGTAATTAAATTAAAGTTTATATTTCATCACACTATTTACTGTAATATTTAAAATTTAAATTTAAGCTCATATTCAATGCATTAATGCCCACAATAAAATCTGGTGCTAATTATAATAATTAAATTTAAATAGTAATAACTGCAAAATTAAATGAAATTATGTTATTAACTCTAAAAATTAAAAAAATATATTCTTTCCCTTAGCCAAGTGCTTCTCAAACTATTTCATGTAGCATACCTGCATTTTTTTGTTTTTGTTTTTGTTTTTTTTTGTTAACGTGTGAGGAAGCAGCAGCCAAACATTCCATACCAGCTGGTGGCTTCGGGGACGTGCCCCTCACCAATTATTTTTTGAGATATGTCCTATTTCAGGGTCATTTTGAGACTATCTGTGCAAAAAATAAGGACATTATGTCTTATTCAATCTAAGGCCTGTCATCATTGATTAACATGTCTTCCTAGTGTACAGGGGACAGGTACTGTAATTGTGTCATATAGTAACGATCCGAGAAAAATATTTGAACATTCGTAATATTATTCATTTGTACCAGATGGATTACGAACCTAAATAATTAAATGCTAATTTTTAAAATTTAGGCCAAAATCCACGCGGCTTTTCTTATTTTCCACAGTCAGAGGAATTTTTTAAAGGTCATATTAGAAATATATGTCCATGAAAATAGACTTTTGGTATTTCTAAGTGTGGTTTTCACAGTTAGATGCCACAAAATCGTGATGGTGTTGCCATACGTATTTTATTTCATTGTTTTTCTGTTCATTTTATCCGATTCGTCAATTGTATAGCAATGGCTTTTTAACATGTATGCATAATTGAAAATTCTAACCATAATAAATATAAAACTAAAATGAAAATGTTAAAAAAAAAAACTAGGCTGATATCCCGGCAGTCCCCTGTGGTGTGGAATTTCTTTGTTTCGTGGAAAGACTCTGTGTACCGTTAGATGAAAGCTGGTCTACTAGTACGTGTATTACACTGTGAGAAACACTGCTCTAACCAATTGCTGGTAACAGTAAATGTTAAAATGACCCTTTCCATGCAGAAAATATTCGGCATTCATTGAGTGAACATTTATAAAATCTTTTTTTTTTTAAACAGTTTTTTCAGGTAATCAGAGATATCAAGTCCCCTAACTGTTATCGCTTTTTTTTTAACTGGGTACTGGATTGCCTTCCAAATCTTTTGTCCTATTTATTGTGAAATATTAATATCATGATTATGTTATTATTTTCTCTTCTTACACGTGCTAGTCATTTTGGTTCTCATTTCCTTTGGAAATATTCAATTGATGCGATTTTAGCTATTTGCTAAAATTCTTTGTGATTTTACAGCGACCATCTCTAAGCTCTAACGAATTTGAGTCTTCTTGAAATCTAAAGTCTTCATAGATTTAATGGCCACCAAAAATGGAACAGTGAAGATTAATGGCTTAATACAATTTGAGTAAGCGTTTACTGTCATTTTAGATTTATTCAATAATAATAATAATAATTAGGTAGATGTAATGACAAAGGTACGCGGGTGTAGGCTTTAAGAAAGCTTAATTCAACTGAGTATACAAGGTTCGCGTATAGTGTCCTTTTATAGTCCCAGTAAACAGAAATAGCTCTCTGAAAGAGGAGGGCAACAAAACAAGGGAAGACCACTCTTGATTATTCATAACAGTAGATATAATATGTTGTAAACTAATATTTCGTAATGTTAAACTAATATTTACCAATTTCTCTCGCCGTCATAAAGGACGAAAATCTTAAAGTAATTTTGTAACTGCATATTTGTTAATCATTTCACCCCAAGCAATGTGATAATACCACTAAGACGCAATGGGTTACTGGGCGTGAAAAAAAATAGACATAAAAGGACAGGGTCCAGGAAGATAGAAGAAGACGGTTAATGTTGAATTTAAATTTATTATGTATCAGGGAAGCAAAAAACCGTAAGAGAGTTCTACAGTCGAGAATTGCGGGAATAGAAACTATTAGAATAGAATATACGGTTGTATTTGGCTAGTTCAAAAGTAAAATGGTGAAACCTAACTGCCAGTCTAGCAGCAAGCTTATTCATGCAGTTGAGGCACCAAGGAGGAAAACTCATCAGAACAATTTATTTATAGAGACGTAGGCAATACAGAGACCGCAGAAACAGTAAACTTAATTTTCATTGGGTAAAAAATATTCATTGGTTATTTTCATTGGTTAAAAACCAGAAGACCACAAAAGAGTCTAGCCATTAAAATGCTCAACCCAAAGTTCAGGGATTTATTTCAGTAGACGGGACGCTGGCTAGGATCGAACCTAACTGGGTCACTTAGGGAAGGGGTCTTGATACTTTCAGAGACTGAAAAATCCCCAATGGCAACAGGAATAAACATCACTGGTGAAGCTTCCTGGAACAATGCAAAGATACTTAGATTAGGAAAAAAAAATACTTGGATTTTGCGTAAACGCGAAATAACGAAAAGAGATCTTTCGACAATCTGGGGACCTCGTCATGTTAAACGTCCCGTGATCCATCCTAGTGGAAACCATAGCAACAGTGGTGTGTCCAGGATTATATAGCCTGATGGACTCCATCTTTCTTCAAGCTGGTTTTGAATTCATTGTTTTCCTTCATCTAAAATAGTTTTCATTACAAAGCAAGAGCGCCCAGTCGGTATTGCTATTTAACCCATAGCTGGAGGGAGCAGAGATAGATCCATACATTTCCCAACGGTAGCGATACGAATGTGAGTGTAACGAACTCTGCCAGAATTCGAACTCTACTCACTGGTTTTCTCTTTCAGAGTCGCTAAACAATACACCACCCGCACACCCCAACCTGTATTTAAATAAGCTTTAAAATAAAACACAATAATAAAACAGTGGTTTGTTCTTATAAACGCGTCGATTATTCCACTCGTTTTAAAACTGTCGCCTCGCCGTTTAAAGTAAATAAATATTTGCCTTTTCTCTTGTCGAAAATAGTTCTGTAACAAGCTCATCAGATAACTGAAAGCACGCTTGGTTGTCCTTGTGTCTATTTATATCTGCCTTATGCTATACCAACGCGCACATCGAATTTGACACGCGGTTTCATTTTGTTTTTTCTTTTTTCTTTTTAACAACAGATGTTTATTTTGGAACAACGTTTTAATTTGTGGTTGCTTTTATCGGATATTTTAGGGGATACCAGGCAAGGGTATAATTTATTGATTTGTGTCTTTTTGTTTCTTTCGATTGCTTGCTTTTTTATTTCTCTCTCTCTCTCTCTCTCTCTCTCTCTCTCTCTCTCTCTGTGTGTGTGTCTCTCTCACTCCCTACCGCTTTCTCTTGTTTTCTTTTCTCATTTTCTCTTTTTAGTTAAATTTAACCCACATCAATCCGTTTCTGTCTTACTTTATTTTTGATCGTTTTTTCTTGTATATTTCTCATTTTATCATCTGTTTCTCTCTTTATCTCTCTCTCTCTCTCTCTCTCTCTCACTCACACACATACACACTTTGTTTTCCTTTCCTTCTTCGTTTTTTCTGTCTTTTTATTCTTTTTTTCTTTTTCTATCTGTCCGTCTCTCTTTTTTATTCTCTTACTCTTTCATGCTGTTTATCTTTCCTTGTCTTCTTCGCTTTCCTTATTGCATTACTTCTCTCTCTCTCTCTCTCTCTCTCTCTCTCTCTATCTATCTATCTATCTACCTATCTATCTATCTATCATTTATTTTCCTTTCTTGCTTTCAATCTCTTTCATATTTTCTTTCTTTTTATACTCAGTTTCCTTTTCCATTTTTCTTTATTTCGGGGTTTCATTTTCTTTCTTATCTTTCTTTCTGTTTCTTTTTCATTTCCTCTTCCTTTCTTTCTTTCTTTCTTTCGTTCTTTCTTTCTTTCTTTCGTTCTTTCTTAACCTCTCTCTTTTCTTATTTTTTAATTCTCTCTCTCTCCCCTATCCTCATCGTTTCTTTTCCCTTTCTTTCGTTCTGTTTAACTTTCTTTCTTTCTTTCTTTCTTTCTTTCTTTCTTTCTTTCTTTCTTTCCCATTCACTTTTCTTTCTCTACGTCTCTTTCTCTTTTCTTACATTTTGTCTATTTCCTTCTTTATCCTTATTTTTTCTTTTCTAATTCTGTTTCCTTTTTCTTCCTCTTCTTTCATTTCTTTCTCTATCTTTATTCTCGTACTTTCTTTTTCTTTCTATAAGTTTCTTCTTTTCATACCCTCTCTCTCTTCTTTCTTTCTTTCTTTCTCTCTCTCTCTCTATCTATCTATCTATCTCTACCTTCTCTTTCTTTACTTGTTTCTTTCTTCCTGTTTTTTACCATCTCAAAATAGAGAGCTGCTAGCTTTCATTAGCTTTTCTTGCACCAATGCGCATCGTCTTCTCGATCGCCTTCTTTCAGATTGACAAAAAAAATCCGCTTTTAAATAAAGCCAGTTTAACTATTCACATCTATTCTCAAGTTTTAATTTCACTGTACATCAACCACCCAACACTCACTGCTTGTCCCGTTCAATGAAATAAACTCCTACTGAAAATGAAACTGCTGGCAAATACCTAACAATTACAATCGTAAAGTACATGAAAAGTACATTAAAGGAAATTTTTTTTGTCAGTATTCTTTCGCGCTGAAATGTATACAATAGTTTTCACGCCCAACATCATTACAAAACGCATCTTGAAAAGATACATTATCTTCACAGACTCGCTTTCTCTGAGCAATAGATCATAGGGAATCCCTTTAATTGTTATCTGTGTAGAAGTAACTATATATAAGTCATAAAATATATATATAAGTCATAAAAGATTGCACTACGTTAGATTCCAAGCCACACTAAAATGTAGGGAAAGCATAAAACCAACTCAGCAACTGGATCGTTTCAACATATAGTCCCCAGTATTGATTATGGTCTAATATAATGACCTAGCAGTGAATGTTGGAAATTTGAGGTAACAGAGACGTGGTTCTACAGAAGCATGCTGAGAATACCAAGGATGGAACATATGGGAAACAAGGAAGTTTTAATGAAAATGGCACCCAAAAGAATAAAAAAAAACAGACATTTGAAATTTCTGGGACACATAATGAGGACGACGTGATTGGATATTTTGACAGTCACGAAACATATTAAAGATAAATAGAAACAACGAATAACCTACGTAACGAACACGTAACTGAATGTTAGAACAGGAAAATCTCCAAAGGAGAGTTTCTTACGGGTCTATTGCTAACACCATGGAAAGTGCTCGGATGAACTGCATCTACTGGTTTCCTCGATCTAAACTTCACGGTTAGGACCCGCCCTGCCACTTACATTATAGCAACACACTCCCTCCGTATTTCATCGGCGAGAAGTAAGTTACACTGAAAGATCTTCCCGTGAACAACTGCCCCGTGGAATAGACTCCCTAATGTTTTTTTTTATTGTACAATGATGCCCCCCCCCTGTACAATGTTCAAGAGGCGCAGTTTATGGGGCTATGTGGGTAATATAGCTGTTGATCCTTGACGTGAACAGGCGAAAATTGTAGGGATCGGGGAAACATACTCTTTATATTATCCATGTCAGTATATATATATATATATATATATATATATATATATATAAGCAAATATATGGATATAGATCCGACAGTATGAAGAAAAAATATACGGAAAAAGCAAACAAACGTTGACATTATATTAACATTAAAACAGCATAATCGCATATTAGGATTTTTGTTTGTTTTTCCGTATATTTTTCTTCATAAATATATATATATATATATATATATATATATATATATATATATGTGTGTGTGTGTGTGTGTGTGTGTGTGTGTGTGTGTGTGTGTGTGTGTGTGTGTGTGTTCTGTCTTGCCCATAAGTCAGCGTTTCGAGGGAAGAACCTTCCTGATTGGGATTGGAATGTATATTTCCCCAGGGAAAGTCGAAAAGAATAAGGGTGGCTCGCTACAATGTGCTAGGAGTGGCGGGTCTTAGCCTTGAAGCTTAGAACGGTGGAACTAAGGAATGTCGTTCGTCTGAATACTTTCCATGGAAATAGCGATCAAGATTGATATTTGAAAATGATGAAACTAGCATAGCACAAAAAAAAAACGATTTCATTATGGCTTATTAAAGCCGCAAAAAGCCAAGTATTGGCAAATTTATATTTACATATGTACTAGAAACCAGGCAAATAGCTTTGAACATCGAATAAATAAATCTAAGCTTGGGTTTATATATATATATATATATATATAATGTGTGCTA